TTTTATTTATTTAGACAGAGACACAGCGAGAGAGGGAACACAAGCAGGGGGAAGTGGGAGAGGGAGAAGCAGGCTTCCCGTGGAGCAGGGAGCCCAATGCGGGCTCAATCCCAGGATCCTGGGATCATGACCTGAGCCGAAGGCAGACGCTTAATGACTGAGCCACCCAGGCGCCCCCGTAGTTGCCATTTTGTCTCCCTGAATATCTTTCCCCCATGTCTTCATATGGCTCACCCCTCAGTTCATTCAAGTCTCTGCTCAGATAGCATCACCTCTGAGAAGCCTTCCATGACCAGCTGTTCCACCTGTCTTCCAGATTCCTCTATTACCTCATCTTATTTATTTCCTTTTGAAAGTATCTTGTTCTTTATTGTCTTCCTCTAGCCATTTGAGTATAAAGCCTATGAAGGCATTGGTCTGATCCATCTTGTTCTTTGCTGGTACTGTCACATCTAGAGCAGAATCTGGCCCATAGTATACAGTTAATCAAAGACTCTTAGATGGCTGGGTAGTGGGGGAGGGTGAACAAATGCTTGCTGAATTCTGTTTGGACTGTTAGCATGTTAATTCTTCTGGGGCATCTCAGAATTAAGCCTTTCTACAGAGTTCTTTCCCATCTTAACTGATTCTACTTACGAATGTCTTTAAGTGTCCCCTCTCTTCCTGCCAATAAATCTGTTTTAGGGCCGAAAGTTTGAATTCCCAAATAGCAGATGGCTGATCCTGTTTTTCTTTCTCCCTGCCTTTAGCCATGCAGTCATACCCTCAGCTGTATTTTGTGCAGGAGCCAAGATGAGATTTTGGCAGAGGGTTGGCCAGTGCATTTGCTCATCCCTCAGACCCGGCAGGGTGTGGTGCTGGACTAGAAATGAGAGATCGCAGCTAGAAATTGAGTCCTGCTGGCTCACCTCTCAGTATTAGTATTCTGCTTTTGCTTTTCTGCTCTCTCCCAGCCTCTTGTCTTTTGATTTTTAACATTGACTTCTGCCAGCCACTGATCCTGTTAACACTGCCAGTGAGATTGAGGTAGGGGTGGCGTCAGTCAGTTTCATTTCCTCATCTTCAGAGAGGAGCTGCGAGATGACAAATTGTGAAGCCGCCTCTGTCTAGTCACCAGTTGTAAATATGATGCCTTCTAGTCTGCTTGTCCTAGAATCATGTGGTACTTCAGCGTTTGTGGGTCTGCTTACAAGTTTCTTTTTAATATCTGATGAAGTAGGGATGAACCCAGGAAATGACCCCTTTGCTTTTTTGTTTTCTTCTCTCTGTTTTGTACAAATCAGGAGGTTCATCAAGAACGGATTGCGTTGGAAAACCAATTGGAACAACTTCGTCCAGTCACTGTGTTGTAACCCCCAAGACTCAAGTAACAGTGGGTGACTTTTTCTGCCAAGATCTTTCCTTTGAATGTTTCAACCCAACTACTTGTCATAGGTGTCCAAGACTGTGTGAAAAGCTGCGAGCAAGCGGAATATAATCCATATTTCCTTTTCTCTTGTACTTCACTTGTATGTTTTACTCTGGTGGAAAAAATACAACTGATTCTCACACTTGAAATTGTAGTTTCAGTGGAATTTATCTCCCATTCTTAAGTACTTCCTCAAGTTGTTAGATGTTGCTCCTTACCAAAAACCAATCTTCTAGCAATTAAAAACAATTTAGAGCATTATTTATTTAAAGAATTTATGATTTGTATAAAACCTCATAACCTAGTACCTTCAGGATGCTTGTTTTATTTTTGTATGTATATCAAATACAGTAGCTTGGTTTCCTGAATAATTGGGATTCCAACTGGATAGTCTTTGGCATGATGATAATAAAAGCAAAAACTAAAACAAGAGCATCAGATTTAGACAGGCTCCGTGCCCTCCGCCACCATATGCCAAAAATTGCTTCTCTAGTGCATTTTGACATTGTATCTAGGTATAAATAATACATAACTATTGTTTTCTGTTAAATGGCAGAGATTTATTGGGTCTTTGCACCTCTGTAAAGTGGAAGTTTTGTCAATGATCTATTTAACTTGGCCCAGTTAGGCCATCAACTCACAGAATTCAGTCCTTTCATGTAAATTTTTGGGTAAGAGCAATCCACTTTAACCGCCTCACTCGATCAAATTAAATAAATAGATGCCAGATCGCTACTTTTATCCTGCATGGGATAACATGTTTGTAAATGCATGAATTTGGAAACTACACATCAGATGTGAAAGGCTGAAGAGACTGTTTGGACTGTTAAATATTTGTTGCTTGAACCCAGGTATTCACCCTGGAGAAGAAGGGGAAATGGTTGTTACCAGCAATCCAACAACTCTGGTAGTTATTTTTGTCTTTGTTATTTTAACCTGGATTGTGATTGTATTGAGTATAAAGGACTAATGAAAGAAAACCGATCTTCACTCTGGATATACAACTGTTTGTTCTCTGTGAAGTGTACCCTTGGGAAGTGATTGGTTTATGTACCGTCCAGTGGAGCCCAGCTGACTCCAGTGTATGTGATGTAAAACCATGAGCTCAAATTGCCGAAGCCAGTATCCTGTGGAAGTTTTGATCACCCACTGCTCCTGAAAGCTCAAGTTGAATATGGGAAGTGACTGACCCCCACAGGGATCAGGGCATGCCCGCTTTCACATCACTTTGAGAGACTGATTACAAGAAATGCTCTCTTTCTCTCTCTCTCTCTCTCGTGTATTTTGCTAATTTACCCATTCTTAGAGTAGAGGTGTGGGGTGTGCCTGGGGTCCTTTTTGAGGTGGTTTAGGATAGGTTTGCAGTGTGGGATTAAGCCTTCAGTTTCAGTAGAGTTGACAGCTTTTAGAATAAGGAGGTGTTTATTTAATGCTTCCTTATTTTATTTGCAAGCTTTATCAATAGCTTAATGGCAGAAGAGAAAGGCTCAATCAGATGATGTTTTCCCAAAGAAAAACAAATTGTTGATTCTATCCTGTGCATATTAAAAGATTTTGAATTGATTTGATTTTGAAAATCCCAGAACTTAAACTATTTCTCTATTCCCCCTTTCCTTCCCTTTTGGGTAGCCTTTTCTGTCCCTCTGGGAGGGGTTTGGAGTCATTTTAAACCCTTCCTAAGATTATGAATGGGCGGTGCAGATTTTTGACGTAACCTCTTTTCCCATGTCCTGAGATCGAGGGGCTAAAGCTATTTTTATCAGCAGTGTCCTTGCTGCAGACATTCCACAGCATGCTTAGCTTTTGTTACATTCCGCCCGGGAAAGAACAGCGTGTGCGCTCCATCTCCTCATCTTCCAGTACCTGTGCACTCCCTCGAGATAGCACTGCATGTCCAGTAAGGAGGCATATGAGCTCAGGAATGTTAGTCTTTAGTATACATTTAAAAAATATTGATATGTTTTCCCCCCATCAAGTCAGTGCCAGAATGAGACAAATTAGGAGGTTGGGGTTTTGTTTAGCTGGCTTGGTCTTCACTAAAGGACCAAACTCACATTGGACAGTTAAAGTCCCATGAGTTGCATAGTTTCACCGATATTTTGAGATGAGCATTGCATTAAAGCACACATCAATGTCTATACTCAGCTTTCTTTTTTTTTTTTTACATTTTAAAATTTTATTATGTTATGTTAATCCCCATACATTACATCATTAGTTTTTGATGTAGTGTTCCATGATTCATTGTTTACATATAACATCCAGTGCTCCATGCAATACGTGCCCTCCTTGACTGCACTTAACAGTGACCATAGTGTATTAGTTGCTTAGAAGTGGGTTAAAAAAAAACCCAATATACACTATTATTATTACCTGACTAGTGCTCTTCTTCCATGTCTCTGTTTTCTCAGAATGTGCACTTTTAATTTAGGATTATAGCTCCTGTATGTTTCTGTGAGCCTTCAATGTGATTTACAGGAAGGCTGGGTATTGAAATCACCATTATACCTCTTCTATAAAACTTCTCCAAAATTAGACCCACTTGTTGGGCAGAATTCAGTGGACATAATGTCGATGTTGCCCCCATCCGTGGGGGCTTCATAAACTTGTTAAGTGGTCTTCCTCTAAAGGGGTCCTATAGTCCCATGATGAAAGCACAATAGGAATCGATAGCGGGCTAATGGGGTACCTCAGTGTCTCTTGTAAGTGGTGTATTACTTCTGCCACATCCCTGTCCAGCAGACATGAAGTACAACCAAGAGGTAGATTTCTGGAATGGAGATGCTGTTGTAATCAAGGCAGATACTTGCACTTGTTTCAGTTGGAAAGATCTAACTGCTTTATAAATACTAGGCAAGTGCTTTGGGCCTGGTTGGGAGGGGAGACATCTTAGCTGGAAGCTATGCCCATTTTACTCTCCTTGGAGAAGAGGATGTCAGAGCTGAGAGCACTTGTACCCGTCCCCTGCAGTTTGCTTGTGGGGAAACCAAGGCCATCAGAAACTACATTTTCTAGCCCAAGAATCTGTAGAGAGATAACTACTGGCAGAGTTGGAATGCCAGCTGATCTTACAGATTCTGAGTCAAGTCCTCTAGCCTCTAGCAATACTAAAAATAGATTAGGAGGGTTTCTTCTGTTTACCATGTTGAACTTTATTTACTTAGTCTTCAAGTATGAAAACATGTTTCAGTGAGTTTTAGATCTAGATATTTCTCTTGGATTGAAGCAAAAAATAAAATCTGAAGGGAAGAATATGATTGAACTATTTGTTCTTCTGAACACCTCACCTTTCATGATGCAATAAATTACTCCAAGTTTCTTGGCAGAACTTTTGACAGTTGTTGCTTTGAATGGATTCCATTCCTGGATTCCTTATGGGGGTTTGTTTTTCAAATAGACTCCTGCGATGGAAATGAACTCAATATGTAGTAAGTTACGGTTTTCTTCGATATATCTTTAGTTATGTGGGTTGCAAATGTTCGATTTCAGCATATTTCAGGGGGAGTAATCAAAAACATGCATTTTTCTTTGATTTCCTACCAGTGTCTGAACTATCATAAAGCATTCTTCTCTTAATATGTGACTTGATTCTATAGTCTCTTTATAAATGATAATTTGTCTATTTCTTAAATGATCTCTCAACCATGGTAATAATAGATTTGTACTCAGAAGATTAATAAGAAAATCGAATGGGTGTTTTTCTTGCAATTAAGACAGACATTTGCAAATGTCTTCTTCTAAGCAGTAGTTGGAAAGATCTCAGTTACAGTATAACACCTTACAGCTGAAAACATTTGTTCAACACAAACTACAATCACACCTCCTGACTAAACATCACAAAAAGAATGTGATTTTGAAAGTATAAAAAAAAAGAATTCCCAATATCATAGCAACCAGATCTTCCCATATTATTGACAAGTAAGACTTAGTAGCTTGTGGTTTAAACATTATGAACAAAATGTAATATCAGTTAGAAAAAGGAAGGTCTCTTTCTCCTCTAGTTAAATAAATAGAACACTAGTGACTTTGGTTTCTCTTTCCAACTGGCTTATTCTGTTGCAAGTGTACTCTTTTGAAAACTCTGATTTCAGAGGATCTCTTGAATTTACACTTTAGTGATGGGTGTTTTGTTATGTTCTTTTTTTGCATCATGACTTAGTGTAGTTCAAGTTCCTAGTAGAAGTGGGGATTTGGGTTTTTGGAATTCTGAGGTGGCATCTCCTCTTTCGGCACAGGCTGAAGGCTACTGCCCACCAATGCCAACAGCTCAGTCACTGATGGCAGTTTGCATGTGAGTCTTACTCTGCGCGCCACCCCACTTTGCCTGTTTGCAGTGAGAAATGCATCTAGTTTTGTGACCCTCCCTATAGCAGCTGTAAGAACAGACATGGAGGACAGACTTTAAAAGCAGCACAGAGTCTAAGAGCTGCTGCCTTCCTCAAAAATAGGCATTCAGAGGTTGCCTTACAGGTGTTCCCTGAAACAGCCAGTCTGTTAATGTGAGCAAGGGATGCTGAGTACACAATTGCTTTTAGGCTTAGATAGTTATTGTCTACATTTGCTAACCTACATGATGATGAAGGCAGGGTTTCAACTGAGAGGACTTGTTCTAGTTACAGAAGACTTGCTGTGTTCTTAACAGTTGGAAAATGTTTATTTTTTTGTGTTTTGTGAGTTCTCCTGTCTTGCTCTAATTTAAGTTCATGGCTGTGGGAAGTTGGAGAAAATGGGCTTAAGACTCTGAAGACCAGAGGACAAGGGACTTTCAAGAGGGCTTGTATTGGAATTTGAGGGCCACACTAGGGAAATTCAGCGACCAGTTACGTCCTACTAAAGTACTCTGTTGGACAACAGGACTGGATCCTAAAGGTCCTTCACAGAGCTCTGCCCTCAGAGCGGTGCAGTTGGATGCAAGCACCCCATCATATGGCGATTGAATCAGCTGAGTTTTGTTGTTTTTGTTTTGTCTTAAGGCAACTTGTATGAGGAATTCACCTGTACCTATCTTGGGAACTGGGTGTACCCTTTTCTTTAGCACTGCCATTCTTTTTGTCTTCATCGCAAATATGTTCAAGAAAGCCAGAGGCAGGAAGGGCCATTTTGGTCTTCATTACAGTGGGCCAGGAGAGAGAATGAGGTGATGGTCTATTTTAACCTTGAGAGTAAAAGTGTATATTTTTTCACTACAGGTACATTGAACAGTAAAATGAGTAACAGCAAAGTATATATTTGATGCCTTCTGTCTTTTCATAATGTGCTAACAAGTTGTGTTAATATTTTACTTAGCCAGAGTCTTACACATTTGCTAGGCCTTGGGAACATTATGTATATTGATCTTAAACATAAATAAATATAGGGTGACCTATATTTGGATTGTGACTTGTAGACTCTAACCTTACTGCCTCTTTTTCACACTTGTTGGAAAGTCTGTGAAG